CTGGGCAGCAGAACCAGGGGGGAATGGCAGAGAAGAGCATATCATGGGGAGACCTGCTCCCCAGACACTCCACAGCAGAGTCTGAACTGTGGGGTGCAGCCTGCCAGTGGAGAAGCAGACTTTATTTCCTTGCTCTTGTGGGCGCACCCACTGTGTGGCAAACTAAGATTGAGTAATTGGCATAAAAACCCCAAACAAACAGATGTTTAATTCATGACATAACTGAGAATCAACATAGCCAGTGGGTTGCAGAACTGATGTTCACACTCCAGTCCCCAGGTGACACAGACAAGGCAGTATATTCCATTTCCTTTTCAATGACTTACCATTGCATCTTCCATGTCATAGCCAGTGTAGGAGATGACAGCAACGATTGCATTGGTACCGACTGGATAATTGTCCATGTCATAGTAATCGTACATGGACGGCCGCACCAAGGGGCTTTGCGGGGTCTGAAGTCGGTACAGTTTATTATCTGAGCGATCCTGATAAGTCAGAAGTGGAAAGCCCATAGTTTGCTTGCCTAGAACAAAAAAGAGCCGGATTAATCCAGTGGCAAAAATCACAATGTTCTGTCATGGCTTTGGTAGGGATAAAACTGATCCAGCCTGCAGAGTCTCTTCTTGTGTATGGAGAAAAAGTTGATGTTTTCCCCAAATCCAAAAAGTCCTCCTAAGCTTGCATTTTAAGACTGCACTGATGCAGATAAGAACTTCCCTTCCTACTCCTGAATCACAAATTGCAAACTACTTAAACTCCTTTAGTAATTCAGTTCAATTCCTATCATTTAATAAGGTTTATTTTTAACATGCTCCCTCTTACAGTAATTCTAACATATCCAGATGGAATGTCAATTTCACACTTACCATAAAAGAATTAAAATCAAGGTTTTCTGTATGTGACATTTCACTTGTGTCTCTTCTGTCCTACATTTTCATACTATAAAATATCTTTTAACTCCTGGTCTGAATATTGATAAGCGATGCAACTTCTGAACAATGGGTTGCTATTTTATTCAGTTTACTATTTTCAGAAGACTATGGGAAAATGACTGAGCTACAAATCTGCTTCTTCAAAACCTTTCCGACAGGATTCCCTACTCCTTGGTCTCCGCTGCCTAGCAGGCGTAAGGTGGAATTCTGAGCTCTTGAAGCACTTTTTCATTTAGGGTTGTATTAGGGTTTCACTTAGGGACGTATGGAAAAGAACACCAATCCCAAGCAGTGAGTTCCCTTGGTAAACTCTTAAAATACAAACCGTGCAGACTCTGGCAATCACCCATCAATAGCACCATGCCAGCAGCACCAGGGATTTAACAAACATTTCATAAACTCCACCAACAAAAGCCAACCTGGAGTCCACCACCTCACTCTTCTCTCAACAGCTGCCAGCTGTACTCTCTCTCATTTATACCACTGAAACTTTAGCTCAAGTGCCTTCACTAACCACAACTGTGGTAGTATGTCACGGGGAGGGGCCTAAAGGGGGCCTAAAGCCAGGCCCTTTTAGGGCTTGATATGTCTAAAACACCACAAAGTCAACCCAGAAACCAACAGGCCCTCAGTGCAGATCAGAGATCCAGCTTAATATGACCATGAAATACATACTGCTTAACACAGAGGCTGCCAAGTTCTGTACCAGATGCGGTTTCCAGATAGATTTAAGATATAGCCTCCCAGAGAGCACTTTGCAAAGTGACAAAGGTCTGGATAACAGTTGCATGGTCTGCATCCAAAGGAAATGGACTCAATCTCTTAGCCATGTGATGCTTCGGGGAGGGAGAAAGAGGTGATCTTGCTGTGGCAGCTACCTGCTCTTCTAATAGCATCTGAGTGTTACCGGAGGCCAGACTGCAAACCCCATCCGCTGATGGTGCAGACACACCTCAAAATGGCCAGTATTATTCCTGTTCTATCTTCCGATTGTTTCCCCCAACCAATCTGCAACACCTCCATCTTGTCTGGGATGGAGTCTCAGCCAGTTAGCCCTCATAGCTGTGCCAGTCTCCCCCAGACATGGAGCACCACAATGGACAGCTCTGGCCAGGGCAGTGGACATGGAGACGCAGAGCGGTCTGTTAGCAGCATACTGCAACCCACACCTCATCACTAAGCCTCCCAATGGCCTCACATAAGAGAGCGCCTCAGGGAGGAGTAGTTACCCCACACCACCCTCTGAGGGCACTCAGCAGGACCATTCAGAGCATCCCACCCATCGCTGCTATGGATCAGAAACAAGTCCACACACCTCATGGTCAATGGTATCAAAGGTAGTTAATACCATCAGCAAGGATACCACTCTAAGGCCACTAGATACTGCGAGAACTGTCCCTCGAGGACAGCTGTGGGGCACAAGTCCAGGCCATTAACGTGCCATCCCCTGAGCTTAGCCACTACCCTTGGACATAGATAGATCTCTCCCTCTCTCTCACACACACCCACTCACACCCCCGCAAGAATAACTGAGCTGTAGAACTCATTGCCAATAGATATCACAGAGACCAAGAACTTCGTAGGAGTCAAAAAGGATTAGGAATTTACATAGTTTAATGAGAACATACACAATTTCATCCAACAGTAATAAACCCCCAATGTTTAGAAATGATATAAACTCTCATGCTTTCAGGCATGAGTCACATCTATCTGATGGGGTTAAGAAATTTCTTTGTAGACATTTTCTTCAAATTTTGAAGTGAAGTGGAGGATGGGTTCTTGAATTAGGATCCCTGAAAATATAGCAGGCAGACACACACACACTCTCAACACTCAACATATTTGCCACTTAATAGCAAAAAAATAAATAAATAAAAAAACCCAATTTCCTTGGACTCTGCTGAGGTCTTGTGCCTTTGACCATAATTTGAAACAGTAACTTCTCCTACCAAAAATTCAAGTTGGAGAACATCAGCTCCAGAGAGCTCAGCACTGCACATAAGAAACGAGGACTCTTAAGCCCTTTCCTTTGCAAGGCTTGCAAGGGATACTAATGAGCCTCCCAAGTCCCATGACGTTGTGAGGGGAACCAACAGTCCCCCTAAGGTTTGTTGGAGGTTCTCCCCCTCCTGCAAAGCTAAGGAGGATACAAAGGAAAAGGGAATGAAGGAATCAAGGATCTGATTCTTTTCCTTCCTCCTGTGCATGTGGAAACTTGGGGATTGTTTGATGGCAATATTTAGCACAGTACTTACCCATCTGGCATTGGTACATGTTTCTGGGACTCTGGTTGTGATCAGAGAATGGAATGAAGTTGGCTACCACACTCAACATGCTATGAGGAAAGAGCTCCTGGTGAGTGGTCACGCCAGGCACAATTTCATCCTCAAGGACAGCAATGTTCATGAAGACCTGAGATAAGCAAAGTCCAATTTAATTATCAAATTGATCTTTTTAAAGGTAAATAAAGCTGTCTCCAATCACTTTCACAGCTCCAGCTGTTCTATTTGATAACTTAGTATATTAGTGTGTAAAAAGAGCTATGCAGCAAAAACCAACATAACTATGGCCACTTCTACCCTGAGCTAGGGATGTGATTCTCAGCTTGTGTAGACACATTCATGCTAGTTCTCATTTGCGCTAGCGCACTAAACCCAAGCAAACTTAATAGCCCTTTTGACAAGATCAGCTTCCACCTCCCCTTCATTGTTCCTTTCACAGATATTTTTGTAAGGTGTCTTATTTTTGTATCAAAGACTTTTCTCTAATGGCCACTGCTTTGTAATAAACAAACACGTTAGACAGACCCATGCACAGTACCTGTTCCAGAGTACCAATCAATTCTTCCTTTCCCAAGGCCAAATTTCTCACAGGCCGAACCATCCTGCAAGGGGTAGTAAAAATGAATAATCCTGGATACAGACTAGGTTTTCCGGTCATTGGAATAAGGACTACCTCAGTCCACGCTGGAATTTTCTTTTCTTGCATTACCTGTTCTCACATGCACAGAAAAAAATCTAGTTAGAAAACTTGTAATAAATGAAGATTTTTTTGCATCCAATAGCCTATTTTCCCCTCCAAATGAAAATTTTAGTCACACAAGTAGCTACACAAATTCACTGTTTCATATATTTTTAAAAAAATATTTGCATCAAAATCTCTACAAAACTGGAGAAAAACAATTGCATTTTAAATTGCTACAACCAACAAATACCTTGATGCTGCAATGCTTTGGTGGCAATGCCTTATAAATAGATATAAAATAATCATCATATAAAATTAAATAAGAACATGATAAAATTCAATTCTTAAAATTCAAATAAAACCAAATGAATCAGTCAGGCACAAAAATGAAGGAAGGAAACATTTGGGAGAAGTTAAAAAACTGCTTCTTCTAAGTCAAGTCACATCAAACAAGGCAACCTTAAAGTGCCGGAGAGTATCTGCAATCGTAGGAGCCATATCTTTTTCTACCCAGCCCACTAACGAGCCATCCAGTGTAACTGGGTAACACTCTGCATAGGGTTGGCTTGGAGTCCCATCAACGGGAGTGACACCTGGGAAAGAACCAAGGAAGCCATTAATGCTGAAAGTAGCGATCCACACCAACACTCCTCAGGATCTTAGAAACATTCTAGACCAGCAGATAAGAAATGCTTTACATTTTGCTTTGCCCACTACATATATTAAGAATCTAAATATCAGGTATACGCTATTTTTCCAGGATGCTGCCTGAATTATATCCAGATTTACAACAATAAAAAGTGGTTTGATGATCACAAAAAAATAAAATGCTTAGATGAGTTGTGTTATTTTACTAAATAGTCATTGGTGACCTTATAAATGTGCAAATAATGACACTTTTTGGAGACATTTCTGTGCCTTTATCTTTCTGTACACATGAACCTGCTCATTCTACAGTATGGAGCTTTTATTAGTTCAATACCCCAAGGAAATGTATTGCTATTCAAACAACATTGTAAAAATGTCAGTGCTGTGTAAGCAATACATTATTTTTGTCATTAACCAAAATGCAGGTTTAGCATATTGAAGTGTTTTTGTTGTAATGATATCCAGTGAAGACACGGGTCTGTGGGGTCCAAGTTTTCTTAAGTTATTAACTCAATGGAACCTACCTAAGGAGCAGAGCAAAGGTGGCAGGGACAAGGTGTAGGCTGACTGCGTCACTATTTCACAGACAGTCGTAATATGGTTCATCAGCCCACAGGGCTCTCCGTCGGGGGTGTGCACAGGGCACAGGAAGCCCCAGGATTCTGGGAGCAGTTTGCGCACCGTGGTGGTTCTCATCTTGGCAAACGCAGCACCTCTGTGTACGCAGCGAAAATGGGACAGGTAACGAATAAAATTCAGCTTGTCTGCCACCACACACAGACCAGAATCTTGTAGCATACCCAGACCTTTAAAAAACAAAAGCCAGATTTAATGTGTGAGCTGATATTAATGAAGGACATTTGCAAAATACAATTCTATAAATCATCGTCATTAGACTCATGCATAGAAGTCTAAAAGATTAACATCAAAGGAGAGATTCTCAGCTTATTAAGCTATATCTACGTTTGAGGGGTTCAGTGGATGGTAGGGGGCTATACAGCCTTTACATGCCAGGTCACTGGGTCAAATCCAGCTCAAATTGGTAGCAACCAAAAGTTACTCGCACCTGTTCGGCGCGCTATGTGAAGTGAGTTAACTGTCTCAAAGCTGACTGCAAAACTAAGTTTTTTCCATGAAAATTTTATCAATTTGTCTCCCTATTTTTCATTGACTTTTCACCTCACTGGAAATTTTCTGGCCTATTGTAGTCTGAGCCCAGTCTCTAGTGGACATAAAACAGTATCATAACAGACATTATGTTTGCAGCCTCAGTGCACAGGCCAAGGATTGAATGGGCTCTGGTGATAAACTATCCAAGTGCCGTAGTTTCTGACTCAGCGGGGAGGGAGTAAAGAGAAGTAGCTAGCACTTCCATACACCACGCTGTGCCTTTTCGATGGAGAACGGACATTATTTTCAAAGCAATCAATGCGGCTTCTTTTAGCAATGCGAAATGTAAAGATATTTATAAAATCCTGGATCTGAATATAAATAATGTATATATTTTAATATACATATGATCCAAGTCTGAGGAAAAATCTAATCCTTTTGTCAAAAAGCTTCTTGTTCATAATGAGCTGCATGAATTCAACTTGAGCAAACATTCAGTAGACAAAATGATACTTTAAGAGAAGAGGCTTGAAAAAAATGTATTTCCATCAGCACCTCTCTGTGAAGCGCTAAAATTGTATCGCAGGAATGGAATGAAGTTCAAGATAAAATTTACCTGTTTTAGAGCGCAGGTTACCAGTAGCAAGGAGATATTCAAATGGCCTTGTAACATCAATTCCCATGCTGAATAGCTTCATCATATTTTCTGAATTGATGGTTATATTGGTCTTTTGAGATCTTTTGTCCAAGGCTACTTTAACAGAAAGCAACCAAGCTTCCATCCTCTCCTAAGGTTTAAAAATGAGATGTGTTAAACTAGCAAAGTAAAAACATGAAACAGCCCTGTGTCTGAAGCATGCGATGTTACTGATTAATATACTGTACGGACCCTCCCACATTGACAGAAGGATGAACTAGATGATCTTTTGATGATTAGCTAAGACTACCCATTGTTAATTTCTATCATTCTAGATTAATCCCCACCTCCCCTGAATTATGTTAATGATACCATTTCAACACTGAAAGGCACACTGTCAGTGAAATGCAGGGCACAATCCACCAGTTTTGCAATCATCTCCTGATTTATCAACTACTGGTATGAATTTCTTAAGTATGTGGAGAAACCCATAAAAAGTGAAGTGGATTATTAATGCAATATGCAGCATAAGCGTATTACTCTGCAACAATTCAACCTCTCCCGAAATGTGTCGTCATCACTGCAAGTACATTTGACCTTTTGGTTTACTGGACATTGAACACGCTGATGAAGTGACAACCAGCGAATGGTAGAGCTGCCTTACAAAAAAGGAATAATTTGACTTTGAAGCTCAAGTTTTTAGAAACGTATATATATCACCAAGAGAGATGCTTCTCAGACAACGTGATAAACGTTTTAGATGATTGCTTTTGGAGGTTCGTTTGGGTTGTAATTTTGGTACTTGAATGAGCTCAGATGTTCACTATTCTGATAACAGGGAAGAGTAAGGTATTTGCCACTGCTTCCAACTTTTTATTAAAAGAAATCCTCTGCATACAGCCAAGCTAATTCAAGGTAAAGACATCATATGTTATCATTCAAACACGCCTGGAAGGGGTGGTTGGCTCCTCCACAAGTGTGCCAGAGCAGGGCTGCAGCCAGGTAGTAAAGCACGGCTTATTGGTTCAGGGCTAGCTATTCCGTCTGAGTACAGACAGCCCACCTCAGTCCCCAGTGTTTCCACTCCCTGGAATGAAGGTGGGGCTTCCTTCAACAGAACACATCATAAGCCTTTAAACACCTTGGATTTAGATTTTCTTCTTCAATTTCAAAGGCACAAGCCACTGCAGTAGCAGGGAGTTCTGTTCTTCCAAACACAAACTTCTATTAAAAAACAATGCTAAAAGCAGATTTTAAAGATATGGCAAATAGACGTGCTCTAAAGAATTAGTTATGCATGGGTTACCCACTGAGTCTGACAGCACAGATGGGGATATTTGGGGCTTGCATGCTCTTACTGTGGATTATAAATGCTTTACAGTGACATATTTTTATAGAACTACACTGAGAACTTTTAGAACAGGAATACTTCCATATTACAATGATGAAAGGCCCAGAAATGGACAAGACATAATATAATAATAAAACAAAATAATAATAATAAATAATAATAATTATTATTAGTAATAGATTACTCACATAGCTCCATAAAAGTATGTGGTACTTTACAAAGCATAGTAAGACAAATCTGTTCTAAAGAGCTTACAGTCTAAAACAGACAGGACAAAAAGAGGCCTAAAACAATAATTATTGGTGAAAAGGCAGCAGACAGCTGTGTTGCCAAATAAGGAGATAAGTATTCCAGGTGAAGAGACAACAAAACAAACTACAAAAAGCAGAATGAAGGATAGAAGGAATAGTATGACAAGGGCCGGGGAGTCCTATGGGCAGCACAAGGGGGAATAGGGAGAAATTAAAGCAAAGACGTAGTTGTGGACATTAGGTTGGGGCTTGAAGGTAGGAACAGCGAGTTTTAATTTTCCACAGTAAACCAACAGTGATTCGAGGAGGAGCCTTGAGGAGATGACTTCAGTAGTAAAATTTTGGATAGTTGTTGGAGGAGAAGTGAGAAGCAAGAAAACCAGAGAAGAGAAGGGGAGAGGAGCAGCACACAGGTGGATAAAGCAAGGGAAAGTAACATTAAAGAGCTAGTCTTCACAAAATCTAGTGCGGGGGGAGATAAGAGTCAGAAGATCACGCTGGAGCTGCAAGGCTAAGACACGAAGGACATCTGAAACAAGGGAATGGATGGGATTGCCAAGAGAATGCACAAGGAAGAGAGGAGGGGCCTGAAGGCAGAACTTTGAGGAACACCAACAGATAGGTGGGAAAAGATTCAGCTAGGAGAAGGGCATTTGTAACCTTTGTTGGGGCAGTTTTGGTGGAGTGATGAGGACAGGAACTGAACTAAAATGGGATCCAGGTGTGAGTTGAAGGAATAGGAGTGAAGGTCACCATGAGCGAAGCCCACTGGAGACACCGAGAGTGAGAGGGGGGTGGGAATTCAGAATTTTTTTTCCCCCTAAGGTGAAGGGAGCAAGACCACACCTGATCTTGCAGAGGAAGAGGAGTCAGAGGGCAGGGAGCTGTCAAAGAGGGAGAGAATCAAAGGCGCCACCAAGAATGACAGGCATGTAAACGGATGAGAAGTACAGAGGGAAAGGTAGGAAAAACTGAGGACACATATTGCTGGAGAACGTCAGTTTTGTTGCTGAAGCTGTTAGTCAGATCTTGTGCACAAATAAGTGTGGTGAAGCAGGGTTTCAGGAGAGAATTGACGATACAAAAGTCTGCAGCGTTTGATGGTATACTGTAACGGATTACTGAGAAGTAAAGCTTTTTGGAAAGGAAGATGGTATATCTAAGAAGCCAGAGACTAAGCTTGAAGTGAAGGATATGAGTATGGTTGTAGGATTGTCTCCAAGTGCATTCAGCAGCACAAGAGAACTCCTTGCCTAACCTACCTAAAGGGTTGAAAAGGCTCTTACCTGACTTCATTGCCGCCCTTGATAACTAAATGATTTATGGTAACGGAGGATTTCCCCCACGCTGAATTGATTTTGCTTATTCTTATTAAGTCTGTAAACGGCTCCAAAAATTAATGCATTTTATTTTGACTGGATTTCCTTAATTACCGTTGATATTTTACTCCTATGCTGATAGCCAAGATTCATTTTTTATTTCTGAATCATCATTGCAAGGAGGGCATAAAAATATTAAAGAATAAGTGAACCAACTACTCTTCTAGGCAAATCTTGCTCCCAGCTCACACCAGTCTGGTGACATACATCCGATTCCATCTCCGTTAATTTACATCTGTTATTCAACAGCACATGTGAAGATTCTAAAATTACAATTACTAAATTTGCCAGAATGCTGTCACTTCTTCACATATTTAATTGCTCCCTAAAATGCTCTGAGATCAGATAAAAAGCACTATAGAAATAAAATACCAATCTAGACTACTTTGAATCTTCCGTTTAACCAATTTTATGAATTGTGTGTGTCATATAGAGGGGGGCACTAAACCTGACATCAGAGCTGCATGGTGCGAGGCATATTTTACTGATGGAGAAATCAAGGTGAAGAGATATTAAATGACAAATCAAGGTCACACAGGAAATCAGTGGCAAAGCCAGAAATGGAGCCCAGATCTCCCAAGTCCCAGTCCAATGCCTTAACTACAAGCCCATCCTTCCTTGTCTTTTAAAAGAGACCAACGATCACACTTTGTGCACAATCACAATCTTACTCCTTGCTGTGATGCCCTGCATCGCTACTCCTTTCTGAACGAGCTCATTAACAGTTAAATGGATAGTCGTTGTTTCAGAACACAGACCAGTATTGCAAATGCCTCAGTTCTACAGGGCTCCGAACAGACATAGCACAAAGGTCTCCTATACCAGGGGCTCTCAACCGTTTCCTTTCCGAGCCCCCCGCCAACATGCTATAAAATTCCATGGCCTGTCTGTGCCACAGAAACTGGTTTCTGCATTTAAAAGCCAGGGCCAGTGTTAGGGCGTAGCAAGCAGGGCAATTGCCTGGGGGCCCACGCCACAGAGGGCCCCGTGAGGCTAAGATGCTCAGGCTTTGGCTTCAGCCCCAGGCAGTGGGGCTTCAGCTTTCTGTCCTGGGCCCCAGCAAATCTAATGCTGGCCCTGCCTGGTGGCCCCCCTGAAACCTGCTCATGCCCCCCCAGGGGGCCCGGACCCCTGGTTGAGAACCACGTCCTATACAACAAGAGAAAGACACAAAATGAATATTTGTAGCTACAAGTATTCTCATTTGTAATCCCCACTGATTATTAGTGTTGAGCAAATGCACCCATAGCGTCTGCCACCTGCATCTCCTACAGTTATGGTTTCTGAAAGCATTTCATCTCAGGCACCAATGGAGGGGGTGGGGGCGGGAGAGAGAGAGAGTGAGAGTGAGAGTGAGTGGACACTCCTGTCCCAAAACGCCATCCACTGGTGCTTTGGTCACTCGATTCGAACAGTATCTCAAAGCACTCTCCCAACATGTTCAGATATCACGGCACCCTTTGGTGCTTGCTCCCCAGAACTGGCAGCAGTTCGGGGCTCTGGTGCAGTCATTTGCTCTCCAATCATTCGGTGCACTTTACTGTAGCCCTGATGCAAACTTTTCCTTGTTATCTTTGGTGCATTGGATCAGCTCCCCTGTATTGATGCAGCCAAATACACTCTTAGCTACTCCACCTCAAAGCATTTATCTAGGCACATCCTACTCAGTGTCTTATGATGCCTGGTGCCTCCATGCATCTTAGCATACTTAGGGGTTTCTGAGGTTTCCTTTCTAGAGATGGTTTTGAAGAAGGACAAAGCAGGCTTGTGGTAGAAAGATGTCCTGTACAAATGGTCATATCCAACATCAGTGCTGCCTGAGTGTCTCATGTGATGAACGAGGGCGTCAAATCTGCCTACAGATGTCTCCTTGAACACTTGGGAAATGAAGAACATACCTGCAGTCCTACAGCTGACACGAGGTTGGTCTGGAGTGACTCAAAAGTGAAATCCTCAGTGTAGGCCTGAGCTGGGTAAGACCGGGGTCTGCCGGCAGCATTCGGCACAGGTGTTGACTGAGGGAGTGGTGCCAGCTTTATGCTGGGAAGCTGAGATGCGAATTCAGGAGTGAGAATCCTGTGTGTGGTGTGTTTAGTGGCTAATACTTCGCTCTCGCTGGAGATGTTATAGTGCTCTAACAAACGAGGATGAGCAAAGAGCATCATCCCTATTTCACAGACAGGCTAACAGGCACAGAAAGGTTAAGTGACATATCCAAGGTGTCACAGCAAACCAGGGGCAGAGTTGGAAACAACACCTAGATCTCTTGAAGCTCAGCCCTCGGCATGATCCACCGGAGCTCAGCTGCCTCCTCACAAACTCCTCTTATACGAGTCATTCAAATGCCCCACATGCTGGATACAGATTTGCTCTCTTTTCTATGCATCTAGAGGTTCTCCTGCCACTCACAGCTTTAAACACTTGAAGGCATTACCTTTAAGAACATGAGGTAAAGCTGCCCTGGGGTAAGCACCTCCTGATTCATAAGGCTGTCTGGATTCTCCTCCATGCACTCTTCTTTGGCAAAAGCAAACAGCTTCCGGGTCATCAGACAAAGCAAGTAGAACTTCTCAGTTTTGGTTTTCAAGTGGATACAGATGCACTGACTGTAGGAATAGGAAGAAAAGGGGCCAATTAACTTCATCTCTAACAGGCTCTATGTTCCAAGCTCCTGCCTGAACAGCCCTTGACCAAACTCTTATTCACTAACTCAGAAGTTAAGCTGCATAACAGTTTTCCCCACACGTCTGGGCTGTTTTCCGAAATTTCAATGGACTTAAAGGATTTAGAGACTTCCTCCTTAGAGATGCAATCTTCCAGCACACGACAGGCACATCAGCAGGGGAGCCCGCACTGCTGCTACCTGTACTGTGCCTGTTATTTGGATGAAGAGAGACTCCTGGAATGTTAATTCTACACCTTTTTAAGCACTAAATTGACTTAAGCACAAAATTATTCATGTTGCCATGGAGTATTTTGAGACAGGTCCACACGAAGGCTAAATTTTGTACACGGATTTCACATAAAATGTGGTGCAATCATATATGTGCATCATTAACTCTGTTCCACAGAGAAACAGTAACACAAAATTCACTCAAAATACATATTTTCAGTGTTACCATAGCCATGTTGCTACCAGGATAGGAGAGAGACAAGGTAGGCAAGGTTATATCTTTTACTGGATCAACTTCTGCTGGTGGAAGGGACACAGCTTTCTAACTTTTCCCTTCCACCAACAGAAGCTGGTTCAGTAAAAGATATAACCTCATCTACTTTGTCTCCCCCAGAATAAATGGTAAATAGAAAATGTACTCACAAAAACTGTTACTGCCATGCAACATCACAATCAAACCTCCTATCATGTCCCAGCAGAGGACTCAGTTATAAAATTTTGGTCTGAATACTGCTTAACGTGGGCAAGACGAAGTACAGACTTCCTAAATTCCTGCCAGAGCAGATTAGCTAAAAGCTTACTTTCCCAGAAGCAAGTGCCATGATCAGGTATTGCCATGATTGGCCCGATCAGTGTTTCCACTCCCCACTCCCTTGTATTCAAGTGTTTATGACTCAACTATAAAGGTCCTCTCTGGGCCAAAACTTGGCAGGAAAATTTCTCTTTCAAAATATGCAAATTATAATCACCAAAGCCCAATCGAACGGGTGCCCACCCTATCTAGTGCCTTCAGCTTCCTCCTGTCTCACCTCCCACTTCAACTGAAAGCTCTTTCTGATGGACAAACTGTGCAGATTAGTCCACATTGACGAACAGCCCAGGATATTTTGAAAGGAAAAAGAGAGAGTTTAACCTTGACATTCCGATCCTCTGAAGACCATCATGAAGGATTCTTACTCCCGACTCTTGTCCTTCCAGATGACTCTGACTCTTAACATTTTTAACCCTTTGAGTCACCAGTAGGCTGGCTTGAGGTCTCTGCCACACTGACCATGCTCTAACTACAGGTATCTCAAGGACTCTGGAACCTTCCAATCAGTTCCTTTCAAGGGCTGGAAGCAAGAGCTCCTCAACTCAAAATACCTGTACTATGAACCAGGGATTCCCTAATACCACTTCCTCCTCCCCCACCTTAAGAATATTCAAAGTTAAAACTAGAATGGAATGCAGTGTCCTATGTTATTCCATGGAGCAAGTGTTTATTTTCTCTCCTCTACCTAAAGATATAACCTCCAAAAACATTTTAAGGTAAACTTCGCTCACCCTGTTGTGCTCAAGTGCTGCAAAGGACTTCAAACAACGGGTTAAATGCCAAGGAGGCTGTGGTACAGTAGATTCAGAGTTAAGGCTGAGCTCACTGTTCAATTTCCTAACATCTCTCTCTCAGTATTGAGGATATTTAGATCTTTTATAAAACCCACTACAACGTCACATGGCAAAATGCACGAAGGACCAAGTCTCAGCCATCCTCTGAAATCCTGCTCACATATCTGGTGGATAAGTGTTTGCAGACAGATTAAGGTAAATGCAAAGTTTCCAGAAGCTGGCTGAAAACTGGCCCCATAATATTATTCGGAGGGGGGTGGGGAAGTGGATGTCTCTCTAAATTTTTGTCCTTGAGCTTATTGAAAAGCTGGTCATGATACTGTAAGGTCAGGCAGTGAAATGTGACTACATCTGTAGTTCAGTCATTTAGTTATATATTGCTACATGAATACGTACTCCAAAAGGAATTCTGCAGCTTGCTCATTTGGGTACCACTCAGGAAGGTTGAGTTTCACTCGGAAGCATTTCCCAATGTAGTTAAGGACCTGCTTCTGCGTGGCACAGCCCTCCTCCATTACCATTCTCAGCATCTGAGAGATGCAGTTCTTATAGAAGGAGTTGTCTTCTCTTCCTTTGATCAACTCCTGAAAAATCTGGTAATCTGAGAAACCAACTAGTGCCTGGAGGAGAGAGAGGCACCAGATCAGAGAACAAAGAAAAGTCAGGAGTAATAAATCACCATGTCTAATTAAATTATAGACTGAGACCAGGTCACTCCAGTCACTTATGCTGGTTTATGCTCTTCTGGCCTTCTAATACCCTTCCCCTAAGATGAAAACAGTTTTCTGAGGTTCAATTAGCTGTGGAGAAAGACCCTGGGTATACACAACCTTATGAGCACCACAAATACCCCTAACGAAGCCCCTGGAAAAGCAAATGCTGGTTAATACAGACAACGATGAATCAAAATTAATTTAGTTTTTCTTCATTTAAATAAGATTTTTTATATTTATATAGACTGACCTTGCTTACAATATAAATTTCATTCACAATTTGTCTCAAATCACTAATTATTGACATTTAAGTAAATTGAAAACAAGAGGTTTTTATAATGGAATGGATGGCTTAAAAATTAGATGGATGTAGCTATGTTCCACAGGGCTGTGAAAAATTTCACACCCCGTGCGACGTAGTTAGATTGACCTAGTCCCTGAAGAGACGCAGCTAGATCGACGGAAGAATTCATCCATCGCGAGAGGTGCTTTAACTACACGGATGGGAAAAGCCCTTCCATCGCTGTAGGAAGCAGCTACAATATGGCGCTCTGGCAGCACAGATGCAGCGCCATCGCTGTGCCGCTGTAGGGTAGACATAGCCTGAGGTCAGCCCCAATGCTCTCATTTGCAATCCCCAGCTTTAAATCCAACGTTCTAAACGCGGTAGTGATTGTATTTAAACAACACTGCTCACGCAGACGGGGGTTTTATAACTAGGAAAATCAGAAATAACTTTCACTTGTTTACTAAAACTAAAATAAAGCCTGTGAAGAAATGTAATCTGTCAAACTAAGCTGCCATTTCAACAAAGCATGTGCATGTTGTCTGACAACGGACAATCCCGGTGGGTTGATAAATCAAATACATCAGCTAGATTACAAAAACAGTCTGGCATTACTACCAGAGAGACTGTGCTTTCTTTTCAGGAAAAGAAAGATGAAAATAGTTAATTGAAGCCAAGTCTTTACTATTACAGTAACTCCCCACTTAACGTCCTCCTGCTTAACGTTGTTTCAAAGTTATGTCCCTGCTCCATTAGGGAACAGGCTCGTTTAAAGTTGTGCAATGCTCCCTTATAACGTCGTTTGGCTGCCTGCTCTGTCCACTGCTTGTAAGATTCTGTGGAAGAGCAGCGACTTTACAAGGGAGCATTGCACAAGTTCCTCTTCTCCGCCTCCTCCCCCTCCCTCCCAGTGCTTCCCCCACCGCCAAACAGCTGCTTGGCAGCGCTTAGGACTTTCTGGGGGCATGGGGTGGGGGCGGAAGGAGCAGGAATGCGGCGTGCTCCAGAGAGGAGGTGGAGCGGGGACAGGAAGAGGCGGTCCTGGAGCATCCCCCAGCAAAGTCGGTGCCTGTTCTTCTCCGGGGAAGCTGCTGCTGCTGCTGCGAAGGTGCTTCCTAGCATCCCTGCCTGCCGCGGGCTGTGCCAGTGTGGGGTAAGCCAGGGGCACTTCCCAACCACACTACAGTACTGTACAGTATACAGTATAATGCCTTTTGTCTGCCCTCAAAAAATGTCCTTGGAACCTAACCCCCCGTATTTACACTAAATCTTATGGGAAAATTGGATTCATTTAACATCGTTTCACTTAAAGTTGCATTTTTTCAGGAACATAACTTAAGTTAGGAATTGCATTGTGCTTTAAATCGGTACAGTAAATCATTCTACTCTGTCTAGAGACAGCTATTTTGAAAACTTTTACTGCCTTGCTTAGCAAAATTAATGCATTGTGCTTACTAAATTGTATTCTATAGTTATGAGCTTTTATGAAAGTTCATCATCCAATGGTTGCTTGCCTTCCGTAACTCATGCGCTCTAGATACACTCATTGCCTCCACAGAGACACTAGGCTTGTCTTCACTGCACCAGTTAGCTCGAGTTAGCACACTGGAGTTAGCCCAGCTCAAGTGAGAGCAACCACACTTCAAAACAACACTAGAGTTACACAGAGTTATTTGACTAGCAGCACAGAATGAATGGATTAGCTGCTGCTGCGTAGGGGTATCTTGTGCTGTTGCAATCCCACAGAATTAAGAGCTCAAGCATCAGCCTCCCTGTCCTGTAGGTGAAATCAGGTTTGGATGCACAGTCTCTAATTCATTCGAAATGCCTTTGAGACAGGATGACAGGGCCTTTGGACTTTTTGTCCAAAGTTCACCACCATAAGATTTCCTAAGAAATTGGTCCTGTCTATGTAACAAGTAGCAGCTCTCAAACTCAACATGTGCAGCCTCCTCTTCCCCAAATGTCTCTGTGACCTAGGGAGGAAAATGAGCAGACATTTCTCATGGAAGACAGTGCATCAGTGTCTATCTCTGAGATCCTCCTGGCAGCAAAGGTAACCACTAGGAAGGAAGATTTGAAAGACAGCAAAAAATCCCAAAGGCTCGAAGGACCCTTCTGTAAGACTGGTGAGCAACAGGACAGGTCATGGTAATAAGTATTACACCTACGGAGGTTTAAAGGATCGGGCCTTTATATTTTAAGCCTGATGCAGCAAAGGGCTGACTTCCTTTGAGGCCTGTACAACACTGAACACGTTGGTGCTTTCACAATCACTTTTGAAAAAAAGGTATTTTTGCAACCATTTCTAACATTGCTTATCCAGGAAAGTTCTGTACAGAAGCAGCATTTTGTTTTTATACTATTTTGCTTGATTTTCAATTGGGATGATGTGACTTATCTGATTTGAACTAAGATTCATGTGCTCCCAAAGTCTTTCACTGAACGATACTGCCAATAACTGGGATACGGACTAAAAACATTCTGCCAATATTGCGCTTGAGGATTTATTCTGCACAATTGTTTTTGTTTTAAACCAGCTTTATCCTTGACTTCAGATGGAAAACTCCCCATCATTACCTTTTAAAAACGTCTCATCAGTACTGTCTTACAGCAAAAAGCCAAGAAACTTTTATACAAAACCTTATTTCCCCTTCTTCAGCTGTGTGCACCTTCTCACACTTCAGCCCTGAATGTTATACTACCGACATAGGCAGGTCTAGTTTGGACTACAATCCTTGATAGTCAAGATGACAAGTACCATTTAATGAAATGTTTCATGTGGAATTAATTATTGAATAAGTCCCTTTTCCAAGCAAGAAACAGGCTGCTACACTTTACACAGCAATTCTTCAATCAACCTTTCATTCACCAAAAAGCCTAAGACTAGATTATGGGTTACCTTCAGTGCAAATCCCAGGGGGAGGAAGAACAACTCTTTCTGAAAAATGAAGTTCAGCATCACCGTACCATTTTCCAGGTAGTGAAGGTTCATGTTTATAGCAGAGTGCTCATCCCTAACACAGTGCATCGATATACCTGCCAAAATGAACAAAAGCAAAGATTCACTTATACAAGATAGAAACTATTGACTGCATGCTATCGGGACTACAAAACAAGCATGGTCTTTAATTGCTCCGGATACAGTTTAGATTTCCTTGGGTGGGGGCACTGTTTGGCTCAAAGGCATCGTACTGAGACAGTATGTCACACTTGTAGATAACTGTTTAGAAATGCAAACCCGATTGCTAATGCGAGTCATTACCATACGCTGATTTTCAGTATTCTGCTTGAAATGAAATAGAGGTCTCACTTCAGTTCCTACAGGATGGGTATTGATATCATAGCTGGCCCTCTTGCGGGCAGTCTCAAGAGAGAGATCCAGGATTAATCAAAAATAGGGCCGGATTCTCCACTGCCTTCCACTACTTTAGGTCTGATTTGCAAGGTATTTCAGCATGAGTAGTCCCACTGACTTCACAGGCTATTCACGAGCTTAAAATTAAGCACGTGCTGAATCAGGCCATAACCTTTTACACTAGTGCAAGGTGGGTGCAAAATGCTACTGTTGTGATCTGGTATCATTTTATACTCACTGAACAATGTACATGACTCTACAATGTGTAAGGCAGTGTAGAATCGGGCCCGTGGTGACTAAACTACTCTTTTATTACTAGATGTAGCAGCATGGCAAAAGAGTTCAGACACACTGAACGTAGGGAGACAAACTACAGATCCTGTACCACCATCCTTCTAGATCATACAGTCATTGGGGCAAGGACTGTATTTGTGTGTCTTACAAAGTAGCTTCAAGCTCATTGTCAAAAATGTACCTGTTCTGTGAATAAATATAAACAGTGCGTTTTTAATGAGGCAGAACACAATTCATTAAAAACGGGGCGCGTTGATAGTGAGTTTTAATATAAACAACAAAAAGGATTCAAAGGGGAGCCATTACCAATTCTGACACTGAGCCTCACGATGGAGGTAGTGCAGAGTCTATTTTAACTGTGGATAAATCTCTTTACTACCTTCACTTAATGCAGGGAAAGGAAACTCAGTGTTGCCTACAGCACCAACAGACTTCTGTGTCTATTGGATTGATGTGCTCCATCACATCCTGCTCACAATGGAAGATGGACCACCCACAATCAGACAGAATACAATCCAGGATCACTGGATATCGATGGTTCAGATTACAACAGTCAAAAGCCACCAACCTAGCTTATGCCTTATATAATGTAATTAGCCTTTTATTTTCACAAGCACTAACATTCATCCAGACGTTAAAAGAATTGCTTTTTCCAGCACTGGGCTTCTCCCTTTTCAAGGAATAGAATTTCCCCTCATCTGAGCAGGCTGCCATGTTTATGGTACCGCACAAGTGCATGAACAAAACAGAAAGCAATAACTAAATACAATAAGTCACCTGCTCTTTCTTTTGTTTATTCTCAAGCGACTGTCTTACTAAGGTGATGCCCCTAACAAAATCACTACACTTACCATACTGTGTGTAACCAGGGCCTCGGCTTTTCCATTTGGGTCTTATCATTGCAATGGGAAAGTTTCGTCTAGGCATAATCAGCATTCTGATAACTTTTTCTATACCGTTAACTATAAAATAGCCTCCCAATTCCTGACAAGAGAGAAAGTGCTTTAAAAATTAATTCACCAAAGTTCAAAGATCTGAGTACAGAGAATCTGTTATACAAGAAACAAAATGGAAGTGAGACAAAATTAGCTCTTATTGGACTGTAAAATACACACCAACTTTTTTATATGTGTGGAATACATGGCAAGTTGTATTGGCATGCGCTTGGGATGCATGCATTACTCACACATAACAGGTAAGAACACATTTCGGAGGTCATCCCAAACAAGTGCCAATAAACCTGTCATACTATTATAAGCTCTGTATATTCCATGTATT